CCTGCAAGCGTACAGCACTGCGTACGTTGGACTTTGGGAACTAGGTGATCAGGGAGGAAAGTTGCATGGTTTCGGTTTCGATCGAAACGTCGGTAAGATATCTTACAGAGAACGTGGACTGTAAACAACCGTTAGCTCATGATGATAATGCATTAATGCAAAGGTGCAGGCGAGCTGGACAAGAAAGACGATAATAAGGATCAGGCGGATTTTTTCGGTCGCGCACCAGTCACCTATGTGTCTGGAGGTTTGTGTTTGTCCTTTGTCCCCCTTGTTACCCTTCTCCAGGTTTATTATCGTCGTTATCTCATGTTTCCTTCTCCCGTGAGCCTTGTTTTTGGTCTTTAAAATAACCTAAATGGCCAGACCTCGAAGCTCTAGCACGAACCATATGTAAAGTTTGTCAATTACCACAGGCTTGTTGCATTTTTGTACTTGAGCCTTTCTGTTAGTGTTGATGTATGGGGGGTGGACGAGCCAGTGCTGGGAATCTCGACGCTGGGAAGCTCCGGGATCTTGCTTGTGTACGAAACAACACGCTGTAACAACCAATAAGTACGCGTACACCGAGCTCGCACCTTTACATTAGTGTTGCTGGTCAGCAAGTTTGTCACTTGTTTTGTACGTTCATTGACCAAATTACCTTTTGAAATTACTGTTTGAGGTAAAACTCGGAGACAACATTGAAAAGCTAAAAATCGAACGCACTGCTTATCTTTTATCTGTACTGACCCGCAGCACTGCACGAAGTGAAGTCCCCACCCGCTTGGCCTTCTACAAATTCAATATCGCGTGTGCGCATGAAGGTATCCTGCAATCATTGAATCATATATAGGCGCCATTTTCACATACAAACCGTTTCAAAGAAAGCAACAGCGAGCACTTGCGTGAAGAGTGTCGCACCGTTCGCCGGACGGCACGTTCACGGGCGTGAACCCCTATGCGATGCGCCAAACTAACTAGCATTCCAAGCGTATTTGACGGTTGCTAATGGCCATAAGCTTTGTTATGTGCTTGTTTTCTTCCTGACTGAGTATGCCGAGATAATTTTAAACCCACCATTGGGCGTCGGTAAAGGCTCGTCCAAAAAGGATTAGCGAGGAGTAGGGGACGGTTTTGGGGCCTCAGTCGTACAGCCGATCTATTTACTTTTTATTTACGTCTTCTTGAAAGTTCATGCGCCGACGTTGGGCTTAACTGTGAGTACAAAAAATTCCATGAGGATGCTTAAGCTGTTTACGTGTAGGAATGCGAAAGCATTCGTACACTCAGCGCATTCCTACAAGTAGCGCGGCCCGCTGTCCTCCGCAGAGGCGGGCCGCCCGCCGGCCTCTGCGGCAGACGCCCCCATTATTTCAAGAAAAGTAATTAATTCCAGTCACAATTACTTGGCCTAAAAAGTAATAGATTACCGTTACAAATTACTTCCCGTAAGAGGTAGTCGATTAATTACTTCGTTACTTCACTCGATTACCAATGCGATGCTCAAAAGAAACACGAAAAAGGCATACATAACTACTGAGCGTTTGAATGGAAAACTTTTGGGCCCATCAAAATTAAAACGGAAATACAACAGATTCAGTACTACCTACGCATCATTCATAATTTTCATAATTTGCATAATATTTCATAATTTTAATAATTTCATAATTTTTATAATTTCATAATTTTCCTAATTTTAGGAGAACGATTCTATAAAGTACAACTGCTCGAAATAAGCGAGCCTTGCGCTGTCCAACCGGGACAGAACTAAATTTCATGAACATGCGACGAATGCACTTGGGCGGTGGAGGCACGCACACCATTCGAATTAGTCCGAGTTTGGCATCGGCGAGCTTCAGAACACGATTCCCTTGAAGGTATGGTTTTTCTATGTTCGCTGCATGTTGCCTAAAGAGGGGCTGCTTTACCTAATAAAACGGACTGGCTGTGAGACCAAGATGCGGTACTTGCGTCTGGGTACATTTCAAAGACTCCTGGTTGATGAGGGTAGTTATCCGACCGAATGACCCACTTGATATTCTTTCTTGATCACCAACCCTATTAGAACCAAGACGTCACACGAAATATTAATGCACAATCTCTCAGCTGAACAAATTTTGCCAGTCTAGAAATTATAAAAAATATATATATATATTTTCAGTGAACAGCACGCTTCCATGTCTTCCTCGTGTTTACAGGCGGATTCGCAACTCCAGTGTCTAAGTGAGTCACTGTTTGGTTTCAAAAACCTCGGGCTGTGTTTCCTTTCCCTAAAATTTCGGTCAAAGTTCCCGCAGGCGCAGTCCGCTGGCGAGAGCCCCATCATTTTCGTTTCTAAGAATACGGGTTCAGCCTGGATGTCCCAAAGCCGTTTTGTCACGAGTGAAACCCGTAACAAGTTGCGTCAGACAATTGTTAAAGGGACTATGAAGACAATTTCGGAAATCTTTTTGGCGATTCAACTGGGTTCCAGGCACATCTCAGGCCACGTTGCCCAAATTTCAGCCGAAACCGGCGCTTGTATGCCGCGCAAATCAATTAAACAGTCGCCGTAATAATCGTACCGGAATCGACTGGAGCGACGCCCCGAGAGTTGCGGGAGAGGCCAGGAGAAGCGGAGCTCACGTGACCGATGCGAGGCCAAGAAGCGCGACGTCACAAGAGACGCCTCAGCGATTGGTTGAAACGAGAGACGCGCCCTCGGTCACGTTTTGATTCTCAGTTTTTAGGAATACTGTTCTAATTTCCGCTTGAATAGCCATGAAAAGTATAAATCGGACCGGAAATGATTACTAAACCGTAAATAAAGCAGCATAATTGTTTTTTTCTTTGCTACGCTGGACGCGAAACGGCCACCGAGCAACTATGGGCACTTCGGCATGCGGGCCGCTCGTTATCGGTTGGGCGGTCTCCCTCGGGTGATGGCGGAGGCCGCCACACACGTACTCCCGTTCCGTTTGTGTTGGGTTACAGAAGGGAAGCTCGAACTCGCTCGCGAGAGCGGCATTGCCGTCTATGTTGACAGATTCGACAAAACGGCCGCGCCACCGCGCCAGCGCGCTGCTATAACCCACCGCGGTAACAAGAGTCTCGATCTCCTAAATACCACCGATACCGACTATTCACACTTGACGTCACTCCCTACGTCACCTCCGCTTTCGGAGGCCCAGAAACGAGAATGAAGATTGTTCAGTTTCTGTATCTTTACTTCTTTCTTAGGCACAGAAATACGCGTCACAAATGTCTACAAAAAATTGGGCAGCATGCTATGTTCCCAAGAAGCATAAAAACACCATTTAAAAAAATTAAATAAAATCGTCTTCATTGTCCCTTTAAATGCAATATTGAGAAGTTCGCAATTAATGCCATCTCCATGTCCTGCATCAAGCTCATCCCAATTAATTCCGGGCAAGTTGAAATCCCCAGCAGTAATTAGTCTGATTCCGAGTCTAACGTTAGCACTGAGGTAATCGTGTAATGCTTCCAAGACTAAATTAGGAGCCTCCGGAGACTATAAAATGCACAGACAACGTAGTGTGTATTATAAAAGTTCATGTTACACCATCTACATTCAACTTCCTGAATGTCTTTCATTACTACGTAGTCGATATTATTTTTAAGAATCAATGCAACGCCGCCTCCTGTGGTTTTCCTATCTTTTCTTACCATCTTATAATCTGGTGGTTGTAACTCTCCGTCACTTATTTATGGGTGTAACCATGTTTCTGTTACTACGACAACATGGGGTTATAAAGCATTAGTACCTGCTCGAGTTCAATGAGTATTAGCTAGACTGCGCGCGTCTAGATTAATCACACGTAATTCCTCGTTTGTTGTTTTTTTTTTTTTTGTTTTCAGCGAGTCATTTATTATTGTTGGATATATTCCTATTAAGTTTGAAGCGGCAATTTTCCTCGTCATACCGAGAGTAGAAATCATCGTTTATCCTATTGTAATATTTAACGAGCTGTACATGCGCGCCATCATCCCTCGCTGCTTTCGCACTTTCCCGAGCATCTTTTATCTGGTTATCGTGGTCGGTGAAAAGTCGTCTGAAATAGATATTCTTGAGCCCTTCAATTTTCCGCAGTTTGGAAAGATTTATATTTTTTTTTCTCTGAAGTGAGCAAAGTTCATGATAACTGGCCGAATTCTGTTGGGTTGCTTCTGTGCGATCAACTGTACTGTAACTCCCAGGCGGCTTTAGAGAACATCTGAGACTACTTTCGATTTTAAGTCTTTGTTGTTTTTTTTTAGTTTGTTTGTTTTTTTGTCTTGGTTCTGAGGGATGCCAAAGATTACCAAGTTTCTTCGACTACGATCTTCAATGTCGACAAGTTTCTCCTGTTGTGCTTGAATGGTCGCATTAAACTTTTTGGCGGTATCTTCAGGGCCACTGACTTTGGCGTCACTGTTCTAGACAAAAGTTTCAAGCCGTTTAATGTTTTCTGAAAGTTCGTCTACTCTTCCATTGAAGCTAGTTTGGTTTTCTATGGTGTCATCGCTTATTCTTTTTTGGGGGGTTTCTAGCAGTACGGCGATAATTTTTCAGTCCTTGTTTCTGGGCCCGGGTTCAGCTCGACATCAGCAGAAAGTCATCATTTCACATCAATGCAAGACACAACCTTAAAACACCATGGGGCATGGTAGGACAATGAGGTACCGATTATCGCTTCTACGAGTAGGATTCAGTACTAACCTGTATGGTAAATAACATTGGCATATCAACCGACTTTACCCTTGCGAAGCTGTCGTGCCCACTGAAGCTTGTCGCGTCTGGTACAGTTCTTATAACAGCAGGGGAGACGGAGTGTAATCCGCACAGGCGAAGGGAGAAAAAAAAACGACAGCTTATGTTATGCGAGATGCACTGCACAGGACGCCCACCGCGGAGTGACGCATGAAAACCGCCATGGCACCCAGGGAGAAGAATCTGAAGACGGACGGTACTCCATTGAGGGAAGGCAGGAGCCAGACCACCGAAGGGCGAAAACAGCAGGGATCGAAGACAAAGGAAGGAAAGTAAACGAGGGGGATGTTTATTTGCCACTGCAACCGAGAACGGTACATGGTTACTTCTGAGAGTACTTCCGGAACATCTCGATGCCCTTGTCGTTCACCTCGGCGTAGTACGGGAGGTCTTTCTTGAGGGCACTGTAGTAGTCGCGGACTTTGGGATGGGCGTCCAGGCTGTAATCGGCGACCTGAAAGGGGGGAATAACCGTCGTCAGCGGCAGGACAAAGCAGGACAGAAAGAACCAAACCTCGGCCTCCGAATACCTGCAGTAAGCCAGCTATCGGGAAATAAGGAACGTGCACAGTTTCAGTACGAGGCCCACCACTGTTCAGCAAAGCATAAAAGCAAGGAGACTAGCGATTTCCGGTAGAGACACCACCTCATCGCTACCATGCATTAGCTCGTAGCAGCAGTAGCGTAGGGACTTAAGAGAAATGTAAGAAAAGGAACTAAGTACACGATCGAGTTCCTACAAACGAGACCGCAGCTCTGGACCCCTACGCTTTAGACGGCACACAGATCACCCAAGAGCGGAAATGCGGGCAGGTCCTACCAATAAGGATAATCGGAACAAAAAAGGTGACATACGTCAACGAAGGAGAGGGTACCAGCGACAACGATGTCGGCAAGGCTGATGTCGGAGCCGGTCAGGTAAGGCTTGTCCGACAGCAGTTTTCCGAGAACTTGCAGAGCATCATTCATGGGGGCTTCGGTAGCGGGGTCGTATTCCTTCTTGAAAAGCAGGGCCGGGTACTATTTCAAAGAAATAAAGATAGAAATAAGCCCAGAGAAACGATAACAAAAACGAGGCGAGATAAAAGTGCTCACGAAGTAGGCAGACATAGTCTTGTAGAGGGTGCCAATGTCGAACATCAGCAGATTGTTGATCACCGCGCGCTTCTCGATGTCCTGGGGATACAAGGGGCTGCCGGCAGCGTACTTGTCCACCAGGTAGGTAACGATGGCGCGGCTGCGACGAAAGGAGCACCGTTCAAGCATGGGGGAGGTGGGCGAACGTCGGAAATAAGTATACCTTTCGAACAGTACGAGGCTGCCATCGACCATAGTAGGGACAGTGTGGGCTGGGTTAAGCTAGAAAGCAGAAACAAACAGGCGAATAATATCACTATTAGCGAAACATGAAATTGGCCATTCGGGTACCAGGAAACGAAAAACAATGCTTAAAAAAGCAACAGCTCGCTCTTCAAGCAGCGGGCACCTCCAGACACAGCGTCCAACTGCGTTTGATCCTCAGCTCGCCGACACGCGTACATCCGTCTTTCATTGTCTACGCGCTTATGACGAAAGAAAATGACGCCTTCCAGCCACTTCTGGATCCTCTCAACCCTCTAACGTTTAAGGATATGAGAAGACTTGCGACAATCCTAGAAAACAGCCTGTAACGTATCCGAGGGCAGGCTCCTTTAGACGAAACGATGAAGGGTTCCTCAAAGCGCAAGGAAGGGTGCTGGACTTTCGCCTTGATTTACCTTGAGGAAATCTTCCTTCTTGGTGTCACCAGCAGGAATGTCGACCTCCTTAATTGTGAGCGGAAGGCCGATGTGCTTGGCCACCATCCTGACCACACGGCAAGGCGCGCTGGGCTCGCAGCTGTAGAGTATCACAGACATGACGACGACAAGGGCGAGAAGTCAGGGAGAACAGGATCACAACCGTCGGACTGATTCCAGGAAGACTGCGGAAAGAACGCAACAGGCACTCGCTTTTGTAGGCGTCTTGGTAGCGGAAGTCACATGTACACCGGAAGGAGCATCCCTGCGAAACGACTGGGCTCGTTGCTGCATATTCATTAGTCACTGCACGCGCGAGGAGAGGGCCACCGTGTAGCAAGCAAAAAAAAGTGATTTCGTGAATCAGCGATGTGTTGATTGAAGAATTTGTGCGACATCAGAAAGGTTGGTTGCATGCACACCAGACTCAACAATTGAATTTTTGTTTATTTAATCTTACCCCTCCAGTGCTCTTAGTACTGGCTTATTGTGTACAGGTCAGTGACAATGCCGAATTTACGGAACAACATGCCTGATACACTGCACAAATATCGCAAATAGCCTTTTGTTGTTTTTCTTTCTCGTGCGCGCGGAATCGCTGAATCCCGTCCTAAAGAGTCATCGTATATGAGAAGCCCGATTGATTATAATAGTGCGACTGTCATCTGAATGTTAAAGAACAAAACGACAGTGCTGCGAGAATTTCTGAGCCCTCTAGACGCCGGAAAAGCGTCAGCAGAAAAACACTGAGAAGATTTATAAAGACGACATTAATTACAGTTTATCATTGAGGAACAGGCCACGGTTTGATTAATATGTTTATATTTAGCTAATTCCTTACTATTTGAACTGCTTCATACTAATCTATTTCGAAGTCCTCTCGCTGACTGCGTAAATATATCCATGCTCCTAGTTTGTAACAAAGAAATATGTGTTCACAACATATAAGAAAATATCGGGACTTTTCTTATATTATTATCGCTAGCGCTAACTCTATGCTTGGATATCTGAAAAGAAACTTCTCTTTAACCCCAATATCATTAAAATTGCTTCTGTACAGAACTCTAGTTCGTTCAAAATTAGAGTACGCCTCATCAATCTGGGACCCCGGTCACGCAACGCTTGTGACTAACGTTGAAGCTGTTCAAAATCGTGGAGTACGTTTTATCTATTCTATCATCTATGAAAACCTCATTGTCCCTGCCTCTTCTTTCCTTACGGCGAAAAATATCTCGTCTATGCCTTTTCTACAAAATTTATCACTTCAACGCTTCACTAAAGGATAAGTTATTCCTTAACCCCGCATATATCTCTTCACGCATTGATCATCGTTTCAAGGTCGGCATTCCTCACTGTGAGACATCAGCATACAACGACTCTTTCATACCAAGAACGTCTTCTGAGTGGAACCACCTTCAAGCATCTTTAGCAGCTATCCCATCACTTGATTTATTTAAAGAAGCGCTTACTAATCACTTTTGTTAATATTTTGTCGAATTGATTGTGTTTTAATCGCTGCCTTTTACGTTTGTATTTTCTTTTGAGTGAATTCTTATATGCCCCACCCCCTCTGTAATGCCCTATGGGCCCCGAGGGTATTGAAATAAATAAATAAATAAATAATTCGTGTGAGCTATGGTTTGTTTCTTGGACAAATTGTACAGGAAAGTTTTGTCTCGTAAATAGGGTCATTGTTTGAAGTGCGTATATTTGCTCAGTAGCCGCCTCGGTGACTCCGAGGCGAGAGCGCCGGCCTACGGATACCCATGTGGCAGGTTCGAATCCCGGCCGAGGTGCCCGCAATTTGACGGAGGCTTATTGTGGAGAAGGCGCCGTGCAACCGAGCTTCCGGGGCGTGCCAGATGCCCTTCGTTGGTTTGGCGCGTAAAACTCCCAAATTTAATTTGTTGTTTGCTCAGTTTAGGATTATGATATATGTTTCGACAGTACTTCATTCGTTTAACTTTATATAATTTTGTTTGCATGAGTGTGGTGTAGCATCGTGCTGCTCGATTCTTAATTCCTTCTCTTATGTTTGGCTGAATGACTGCATGTTTTGTTTTTAATCCTTTTTTTTTTTTGTAACTTGTCTTCATACGTTTGCTGTTTAAGTTACACTTGAGACCCCACTCCTACCACAGTCTCCACCGGCCTGCAATACTGTTTAAATAGATAACACGAAGAGAAACAGCCACTGAGAATATCAGGCAACGGATTGATACAGGAAGCTGCCAAGCTTAAGAACATTAGACAGAAGCACCGACATAACGATTATGTTTTCCCCGTTCCCTGCACGAGCTTCAAGTAGTTCTAAAATTGACTGATACTGTCGTTTTCGATTATGCTGAGCATGTTCCTAATTGAAATCATGTGATTATCTAACTAATTAAATAGTTGATTCAGGAAGTTTAGTTAATTTTCCGACTTATCACAAAGATTAGCCACTCACATAATGTCCCCCTGGCCACATAACTCCCCTGCACACACCGTATTAGGGCATCTTTCACGAATATTTTGTAATAAATCTGTTCGAATTAAAATAGAACACCTGGAGTGTGTGTGTATATATACAAGGTGTTTTTTTTTAAGCTTAAAAGATTTGTTTTGAAAAAGCCGCGAAAGTTACACTTATGCCGCTTGAGGAGGTGAGTTATACGGCCAGGGGGACATATTATAGGGGGATAATCGTAAAGATCAGTCTGCTAATTAATTAAAATTCGTTAATTAACTTTTAATTAATGAAAATAGACATATGGTTCCAATTAGAAACTTTCTCAGCGTCATCGAAAACCACTAAATCAGTAATTTTCAGAGAGACTTTGAGCGCGTGAGAAGCGTAGTAGTGCACTAAAGTTACCACTCGTGGAGCAGGCACAAAGCTAGCGGTTGCGATAAGGCGCCCGCGCGATTTTTTCGTCTCTTATCTAGCCCCAGCCTTGTATCTGCTCCACGAGTGGTAACTTTAGTACAATACTACGCTTCTCACGCGCCGAAAGTCTTTCTGAAAACGACTGATTTAGTGGTTTTCGATGAAGCTGAGCAAGTTTCTAATTGGAACCTTGTGTCTATTTTCAATAATTAAAAAGTTAATTAACGAATTTTCATTAATTAGGTGACTGATCGTTACGATTAGCCCCCTATAATATGTCCCCTTGGCCGTATAACTCACCTCCACAAGCGGCATAAGTGTAACTTTCACGGCTTTTTTTTAAACAAATCTGTTAAGCTTAAAAAAAAACCTGTATATATATATATCTATATATATATATATATATATATATAGGTAAAGTAAGGTAAATATAAAAACAATGGACCGGGAAAAGTTAATAAGTGAAAGATGCGTACTGTCGGGGTTTATTACGACGTTTCGAGCGGGTGATGAAGAGCGGTCCCCGCTCGAAACGTCGTAATAAACTTCGAATTAGTAACTCCGACATGAACTATCTCAATTGCTTGAGATAGTTCATGACTTTACCTCCGCCCCGAACAAGAAAAGTCAGGTAGATGTCATCTTTATCGATTTCGCGAAAGCGTTCGATAAGGTGTCGCATGCAAAGCTCGTAGAAAAACTGAGGAACTACTTAAAAAATAACCAAGTTATTGGTTGGATACTATATATATATATATATATATATATATATATATATAACGGGCATGGTGGCGGGAGGCCGAAGGCGTGGGTATAAAACTGAGAAGAAAAAAACCCTTAGTGAAAAACAGCAACAGCGGACGATTTAATCTTCGACGTTTCGGCCGGAGTCCGGCCTTCGTCAGGAAGAACTTTTACAGATGAACGCGGGTGGTATTTATACAATGCTACGGTCGAGTCCAAATTTCGGAGGGGTGACGGTTGAAGCTTTCGAGAGAGGGAAGCGTAGGGCAGTTCTTATCCGGGTGAAGAAGCTTGACGGTCGGTGCCAAGTTTCAAGGACGGCGGGATGACGGTTGTAGCTTCTTGAGAGGGGGCGCAGGGTGACTTTGTGTCCGGGCCGGCAGCGGTGACCTATATAGACGATAGCGTACAATAGACGAAAGTTACACGCGCAAACTGAAGTGCTGTCTCAAAAAAAAAAAAAAAAAAAAAAAAAAGGCGGCACGGTCACTTGTGTGCATGCCGGCATACATGAGTCAAACCTGGAAGGGAACAATGTTAAACCTAGAAGTAAAAAGAAATACAATAGACATCAGAACCTGGAAATAAAAGAGAAGTTGATGGTCCAGTTCCGGCCCCAAACACAGTACCACTGTTAACAACAAAATCTACAAAAAAAAAAAAAAAAATGTTTTTGGATTGTTGTTGCTATTCGTCTGTTAGCATTTTAATCGATGCCAGAGTACCGGGGCTTTCATTTATTCCTTGTTTAATAGTGTTAAATCGGTAAATTAGGTAGGATTCACGCTGTTCACGTTCGCGATTTGATTTAAATCCAGATTCTAGGAGCGTCACTGACAATTTATCAAAAGAATGTTTTCGGAGAGCGAGATGTTTGGATAAAGGCAGTGCCGGAAGATTTATGGCGTGAGATTTGTGATTATTAAAGCGCAGTCTAAATGCCGTTCTAGTCTGCCCTATGTATTGCATTTTGCATACCGTACACTCCAATAAGTAAATGACATTCGACGAGGCACATGTTAAGTTTCCTTTAATTTTGATCGAGAACTGCGAGTGCGTGCTGCTGGCCGTGCTTGTGTGCTGCATCTGTTTACAGATTAGACATCCTGGGTGCCTGCAAGGCCTACATTCGTTAGGTGGTGGCGATGAATTTATCCGAGAGTTTACTAGCGCGTCTTTGAGGTTACGCGATCGTCTGTGGACTACCCCCGGGGCGGATGGAAACGCGCGTTTAAGGCGCTCGCTTTGTTCGAGAATGTTATAATGTCGTCTCAAGACATTATTTACATTAGGATGGTTTATGCTATAAGTTAGACAGAGATTTGTGCGTTGTGTGGCGCTTTGCGTGGGGCGCGGGCTGATGAGGTCTGCGCGGTTCAGTTGTTTGGCTTTTCTGATTGAATCGTCGATTATACGGGGTGGATACTTTTGTTTCTCTAGCACTGACTTTAAATTTTGACTGCTCGCATCAAAATCTGTCTCTTTTGAACAAATTCGTTTGAAACGATGAGCTTGGCTATAGGGAATGCTGTTCTTGCAATGGTGTGGGTGGTCGCTTTGATAATGAAGGTATTGCTGCCGATCTGTTGGCTTACGGTACAGGCTCGTGGCGAGTTTACTTTCGTCTATCTTAACGTTGACGTCTAGGAAGTTTATTTCGGTTTGAGAGTACAAATGTGTA